TATATTCCCGCACCAACATGGACTGTCTGGAATTTCACACAGATAAAGTCATAGTACACTACTTACAACTATTCGAACACACAGCTAAGTTACGTTAAAACAAACTACATCACGTCATAATATAGTTTCGTTTCCATTGCCAGAATAGACAAAAAGTAAAGTTTACGCAAGCATCGTCACTACGGTCCCAAATTTCTTTATTATGGGGTAAACAGGAAGAAAACTGACTAGAACTAAAAAAAAATATACATGTAACAGCAAAATTAACAACTTTCCGTGGGAATCTCTTGAAGAGGAACATAGTTTTCCCCATTTTTTTGCGCCGTTTCGGGAAAATAGGGTGGGGGGAACGGACAGACACTAAGTTAATTATCCCTATAAAAACCTGAACGGCACAACATAGACTACCGGCCACACGGAAATAAGGACTTCCGGGCAGTATTCTCAAAGCCTTCTTTCCTTTTCACTTCCTGGTCCAACGGATGTATGTATAATCGTATTATTAACTGTTATTTTATTTCAATCTCGCGAAAAACTTACTACTCAAACACAGATTCTGCTGAGCAAGTTGGTCCAAGCGGCAACACGTCTACCTTGAATTCAGGTGCCAGCCGGTTCGAATCCTGGCCTGGACACCGACTACCATAGTGGAGGATTTCTGTCGTCAGTTACTCCAGGTAAATGTCTGGATATGCCTCAAATGAATGCACGAATGTTTCCTTCCATATCCCACCCAATTCATTTCCCTATCATCCCACCATTCGACGCTATATAGGAAATCTGAGTCAATGACGTCGTTAAATAAAAAAATACATGCAGATTAACTATACTGTCACGTGTAGGGGTGTGCGTAGCTCATAGAAGGGTTCTGAATTGGACCAATTGGTTTTATTAGTGCTCGGAACTACAGGCAGTACTGGACTATCGCTGTTCTACACTTTACAGTTCACTGTTACACAAGCACTAGGGTTTTTAATATTCACTAGTCGTATCCTGGCAACGGATAACAGTCTCACTAACTTCAAATCACATATGAAGTCTTTTTTTCCACAGTATAATCCCTTTCTTACCACTATTCTGCTGACTGCCAAATCTGGAGACTCCCTCAATTCTCTGCTGCAACTACCAACTCCGGAAGCGAACTCAATTCTGATTCTAACTCTCAACTGGAACTCCGGAACTCGACTCAATTATAACTCTACTCACTTGGAAGTCCGGAACCTGACTCACTTCTCTGCCGCAATTACCAACTTCGGAACTCAACTCAATTTTAATTCTAGCTGCGTGATATCCTAGTTATATGGCCCCGCGGCGGCCTTCACAGAAAACACCACTTCCTCTATTGTTGCGTGCGTTCGCTTGCACGGGAATGTTTACCGAGCCGCTGTCTAGCAATGAACTACTTCGACTTTCGGGCGTCATGTCACAATATTAAATTTTGGGGAAATATCCTCAAAATTTCGCATCGTCGTCATGTACGTGATTGTTGACTTACAAACACTATTTCATATGTAATGCACAGGTATGTTCAGGTATCAGGTATCTCCGAATCAACTGCCACATCCTTGGCTCCAGCGGTTCTTTCGTTATCGCCATTAAACCGAAAATTAAAGACAAATTTCGCATGGCCGCCACGTTGTTACAGTCTACAAAAATATTATCCAAATAAAGCTGTATATCCCTGCAAGACTTATTGCCACACATTATTGCATATCCCGACCGCTGGACTAAGTAGCGCTAGTGTCGCTCCCGCCTCACAAGCCATGCTATTACCGACTATAGGAAATTAATATTGGACCAAGCTGTTGTGGCCTCCAAGTCAGCAAATCCATACCATTACTTGTAAAACACCAGTCACGTGATTCAAAAGCTGAAGACGGGGACACAGGTGTGTGCACATATGTACATAGGCGCATGCACACATCGAGATCTTACAATTTCGTTTAAGGACTGAGAATGGGCCAACACTGTTGACGCCGAATTTAGCTTTACGTAACATTTAAGATATGGATGTGGAGAATCCATTTTGGTACGGAGACCATGCAAGGCGTGTTCAAAACGGAACTCGTTACCACCTGAAATCTGAATTTTCTGTACTATTCGTACAGGTTTACCCGAAGTCTGCACTTCAGAATCTATGATACGTATATACAAATAATTAACATAATTACCTATGTATAGGCTACACATAAAGTCCGTCTATTCGTTTGTCCCACCACGTTTCTCCCAAACAGCGTGTCGTATAAAAACCGGTAAACAGATGATATTCGTCTTGGAGAGAGAATCCGTGAGTTCGAGCCCAAGCTAACTTACTCCAGCGTTATTTCTTCTGTAACAAGACGCTGGGTTCGTGACAATAACGGGAGTACTGTTAGAATACGGAGGAAAACACGATCTCCTGCTGTAGCAAGCAAATACACGAAATACCTTCTGCCGTCACTAGAAAAGGGGAAAAACCCAAACTATCTTCTCCCGTTACTCGGATGGTGGCTGGTAGAAATGAATACGGAAGAGAAGGCGGAAAGAAATTAAGGTATAAAAAGATAAAGGGACCAAACTGGGTTGAAGGAGCTGTTTTAAGCGAAGGAGGGGAGGGAAGGAAGAAGGTAGGTAATGAGAGAACGGACAAGAGATAGAAACGAAATATCGGAGAAAAACGGAAATGATTATCCGGCATAACATTTTGGACACGTAATATTAGTAACCGCAACGAACAACAGTA